CTTCTCTCCTGTAACGGCACTTAATTATCCTAATTTAATTTTTAAATCTATTGTTTTAATCATGTTTGTTTGTATGTTTAATTTCTGTTTTACATTTATTCATTTTAATTTAAATGATCTTTGTATTTTCTCAGCTATAAAGCACTTTAAATGACCACAATATATGAAAGGTGCTATATAAATAAACTTGCCTTGGCTTTCGTATATAGAACCATTTCATGCTTAAATGGCTCTTTGCATTGTGAAATGGTTATTGAATGTGCTGTATATGGTTTTATATAGAACCTTTTCGATAAGGGTTCTAAATAGCACCAAAAAAGGTTCTTCTATCCCTACAAGCTTGACATTGTATCAATAGCAGAACCCTTTTTGGTGCTATATGGACCTGTTTTTGAAACGGTTCTGTATAGAACCATCTACAGCATGTTCTCCATCAATCTAAAGAATCCTTTCATGATGCAGAGAACCCTTTAATCATGCAAAGGGTAAACTAAACTAACCTGGACTAAAGAACCCTTGAAGAACCGTCACTTTAGGTGTGATACTCTATATGTTTAAAGGTGTCCAGGCAGCCCTTCTAATTACTGAATTCAACTACTTTAATTAAGGTGCACCCATTGTTGACACCCTTACACAGCTTGTATAATCTCCACAGAAACGCACTGACCAGTAGAATAGAATGGGATGCTGTGGAACAGCTGCACACGAGCCAAAGGTCACCATGCCAAATGCTAAGTGTGGGCTAGAGGGATTTAAAGCCTCTCAGAATTGGGCTGTGGAGTAGTGGAACAGTGGGGTGATGGATCTCCATCTAGTACCTTTGGGATGAGTTGGAGTGATCCAGAACAGATCATCCAACATCAGTACCTGACCTCACTAATGCTCAATCAAATCCTCACAGCAGTGTTTCAATATCTAGTGTAAAGCCTTCCCAGAAGAGTCGAGACTGTTACTGCAGAAAAGGAGGACAAAAGGCCTATTAATACCCTTCATTTCAGAAGAAACACTGGATGAGGTATTTGCAAACTTTTGGACATACACTGATCAGGCATAACATTATGACCACCTCCTTGTTTTTACGCTCATTGTCCATTTCAGCTCCACTTACTATATAGGTGCACTTTGTAGTTCTACAGTTACAGACTGTAGTCCATCTGTTTCTCTGCATACTTTGTTAGCCCTCTTTTACCCTGTTCTTCAGTGGTCAGGACCCCCATGGACCCTCACAGAGCAGGTACTATTTGGGTGGTGGATCATTCTTAGCACTGCAGTAACACTGACGTGGTGGTGGTGTGTTAGTGTGTGTTCTGCTGGTCTGAGTGGCCTGTGACCACTGATGAAGGACTAGAGGATGACCAACACAAACTGTGCAGCAGCAGATGAGCTATCATCTACAAGGTGGACTGACAAGGTAGGAGTGTCTAATAGAGTGGACAATGAGTGGACACAATGTTTAAAAACTCCAGCAGCACCGCTGTGTCTGATCCACTCAGACCAGCAGAACACACACTAACACACCACCACCACATCAGTGTTACAGCAGTGCTGAGAATGATCCACCACCCAAATAGTACCTGCTCTGTGAGGGTCCATGGGGGTTCTGACCACTGAAGAACAGGGTAAAAGGGGGCTAACAAAGTATCAGAGAAACAGATGGACTACAGTCTGTAATTTTAGAACTACAAAGTGCACCTATATAGTAAGTGAGGCTGATAAAATGGACAATGAGCGTAAAAACAAGGAATGTCATAATGTTTTGCCTGATCGTTGTATAGAGTAGCCATCTAACCCAAGTTGGTGTGTCAGGGTGAGTAAACAAGCTGATTTACTCTGTATCTCCAGGTGGGTGAAACTGAGTAATTAATTCCATTTCTGAAGTGTTTTAAATGTGATCATATGCTGATAACATTGCCTGAATGTAACAGGTTTCTCACTGATTACTCTTTCTCACAGCGCTTTCTTCAGCGCTTTCCATCACAAAGTGACACCTGTGTGTCCAGGGACAAACTGCAGTTAGGTTTGTATGTGTATCTGAAAAAAAGGGACCTCAAGAAGGTGACTGAGATCAGAGTATTTAAAATTTACCATTTTTAATTTTCAGTTTTATAAGCTGTTGAAACTGTTGACGCCCTACTCTTATTGAGTAAGGACTAAGGATGAAATGACACACAGCTGAAAGTGAACAGAGCTGATCAATCAAGTGATATTATGCATTCGAGTCTCTTCCATCAAAAGAGTAACAAACCCATCTAAAATGATAGGAATGGCATCCTGAATTAACAGTAGTGGCCACTAGGGGGCAGAAGAGCACAGAAAATCTGATTGTACTGTTTTCCTCTAATGTACTGTTCATGAGTGCTGTATTATATTATATCACAACAGTAACAGACTTCAAGTATTTAGAATGATCAGAACACTTAAAGACCGCGTTATTCAAGGGCTAATCTATAATAATAATAATGTAATAATAAAATATTAATTCTATGTGACAGCCTCTACACAAAGTATGCTGCCTTTAAACTTACCAGATTTGAAAGTCGCCCATAAAATATCACTTACTACCCTTTATGCCTTTTCTGTCACCTTGTCTTAAAAGCCAACACTGTTTTTTTTCCCCTTAACTGAAAGCAATAAATACACGATAAAACTTAATATTTATAAGAACTGTCCAGCTGCCTCTTTTAGACATTGGTACTCTCTATGCAAAAAGGTTTCTGTATGGTACCAAAAAGGTTTTAACAATAGTGGAACCCTTTTTTTGGGTGCTCTGTAGAGCTACTTTTAAAACGATTCTTAAAGAACCATATACAACCAGATTTCCATCATAGAGAAGAACCATTTAAATAATAAACCATCCAAAGAACATTTATTCATTTAGTGTTCACAGCTCGGTATCTACACCATGGCTTTTCTAACTTTAGGGTATGTTGATGTATTACAATTTTACTCTAGGTAAGATAAACATAGTGCATAAAACTTAACATTAAGAAAAAAGAACAGAAAGTTATAGTTTTGATATGTTCTTGACAATATACAGGATTATTCATCACTTTATATATCTCTGTATATCATTTTTCTTATTATTTATCCCCCTAAAAAAATGAAAAGCTCTTACTGTCCACAAATCCTGGCTGTGGAAGTGGCGACTTGCCCCAACACACCATGCCTTCATTTCATCCTAAAGTATTAATGATGAACTTATTTTTTCCTTTTCCAGATTACATACACCAGTAGGGCTGGACAATTAGGGCAAAATATCTAATCACAATTTTTCTGACCAGTATTGTGACTGTTGGGCCAAGATGACCAGAACGTCCACTTTCCGCTTGAGGCTTAAATGCTGAAGTGTGTCAGACTGACAGTTAGTTGGTTGAGTTGTCATGTATACAACGTGGGTGTTTGGCTGCTTTTGATTGCTCAGGCTGTTCACAGGCTCTGTGATATCAGGCTAAATTTCCCCACTTAAAGCTGAAGACATTGGTGATAATGTAGGCTATATTTAAAACGGCAACTCCTTCGATTTAAAATCTGCAATTTCGATTTCAAATTGATTCGTCTTTTAGCCAGTAAACAGCTCTGTATGTGTTAAGCTGAGTACTTTAATGGAAGTTCATAATCTACGTGTGTCATCTCACATTAACTCAAGGTTTCATCAACGCAATGTAAAAAATGATTTACTCTTTCTGTGTTTATCACTTTTCCCTCATTAACCAGCTCAGATTGGCTGCTGTACCTCAGATCATCGTAGTCTGGGTTGGGCCTGATAAAGTTGACAGTTAGGCAAATAAAATTAAGTCTAAGTTTACGTTTATAGTCAGTAAGTTATAGATATCCATGGGACCAAATACAACAGAAGTGAAAATATACAGTTTTACCTTTTGTTCAGTTGAGTACACTGTTAGAAATAAAGGTTCTGTTCAGGTACATTTTTCATTCTTCAAGGTACAAACAGTGTAAATGTTCCCTCAAAGGTACAACAGTGGTTTTAAGGTCTGATTGTGAACCTTAAATAAGTTTTTCCAGGTGAAAAGTTCGTATTTGTACCTTTTCATGACCGAATGTTTTAAAACAGAACAGAACAATAAAAAGCCTGGAGACGAGACGGGGTGTGTGGAGTCAGTACAGCTTAGAACATATCATTTCAGTGGATTATGGTTCAGTTATGTTCCCTGACTAAAGGTACTGAGATGTACCCTTGAGGGTTCCACCCCAGTAAAAGGAGGGGTCCTGCCCCAGTGACAGTTTAGTACCTTTTTATCTGACAGTGTATGGATTTCAATCGATGCAGCATTTTCACCAGATCACTGAGTTTTAACATGTAATTCTGCATTTTACATCTCTGGAGCTTCAGTTTAAAAACTGATTATTTTAGCTTGATTTATTATTCAAGTCAGTGAGCAGGTTTAAAAGTGTGTGTGGTACACAGTTTAAAAAGATGGTTCCTAAAGGATTCTTTAGTAAAGGCAATGGTTCTATTCAGAACCATGAACCATTTCATGCTTAAATGGTTCTTTGGATGGTGAAAGATTGATAGAGAATGTGTTGTATATGGTTCTGTGTAGAACCTTTTTGAAAATGGTTCTGCATAGCACCACAAAAGGGTTCTTTTATTGCTTACAAGCTTGACATCAACATGGAACCATATACAACACATTCACTATCCATCTGAAGAACCATTTCACTGTGCAAAGAACCATTTAAGCATGAAATTGTGTATATATACTGTATGTAGAACCTCATAGTTGTAAATAGAACCATCTGTTTACTAAAGAACCCTTGAAGAATCATTTTATTAAGGACTCCACCCCAAATCCATTTGATGAGGTAAAGTTAGCTGATGAATCTGAGCTGGAATCAGTCTGAATCATCTGCCTTCCGATTGGTCCCCTCGACTGCAGCGCTTCACTCTGATTGGTGGTCGGAGCTGTCAGTCAGAGACAGAAGCGGGCGGGTTTATTTTGAGTATTGATGCTGAAAGGAGGAGGAGGAGGAGGAGGAAGATGCGCGCGGAGAGCACGCGCTGCGGCACGCGAGAGCTGAACCCGCGACAAGAGTGTAACAGGTGTGTGTGTGTGTGTGTGTGCGTGCGCGCGCGCGCGTTTGCTCCGTCTGACTGCGGGAGTGCGATCCGCCGTGTATGTGTCTCGTGCACAGATTTATGTGTGTGTCTGTGTCTCGTGCAGGTAGAGATGCACTCCTGCGCGTGAACATGCACGCGGCTGAATCTGAGCTACGCGCGCTGGACTCCGCGCTCCGGGTGTGCGCGCGCTGGAGACGCGCGGGCGGCGACGGGCAAGCGCTCCAGCAGAGCTCGAGGCGCGCTCCTGATTCCGCATCGCTCCACGCGCTCGAAACCGACTCCTCCGCGCTCCAGATGCGCGCCCCCGTCGAGAGACGCGCGACTTTGCCCACGGAAAGGTATGGAGAGGAGAACAGCGCGAGGACACACATGGATGAACACGGTAAGACACGAGCGCACGCACTGAGACAAGCAGAGAGATAGGTGAAACAGCGCGAGACTCTGAGTCCAGAGAAGAATCATCTGAAACCAGAGTTTAGTGTGTGTGTGTGTGTGTGTGTGTGTGTGTATAAATGATGATTGTGTTTATTATGCTGCTCTGCTGTGTTATTCACATTATATCTCGAGGATTAACAGTACATAATATCTGTAAATCAGCCTGTTTGTCCATCCATTTCTCTGTCTATCCTCGTAACTATCCTTTGGTCTGTTTGCTTGTCTGTGTATTTATTTATCTGTATGTCTTTTTATTTATATAACTATTATGTCTACTTGTCTGTATAACTGTTTGTCTGTCTGGTTGTCTTTTCATCTGTTGGTCTTGCTGTTTATTTTTCTGTCTATACAACCATCCATCTATCTGTCTGTCTGTCTGTCTATACCTGTCTATGTACAATACATCTATTTGTTTTTCTATTTATGTATTTGTTTATCTGTTTATCTGTCTGTATTACTGTCCATCTGTGTGTCTATTTATCTGTTTGCACTGAACAAAAATATAAAAGCATGACACTTTTTCACTTTAAAGATTTCACTGAAACCGTGCAAAACAGGGTCGTGAAACAGAATTCCCACATTTTTATCTGGTGTGACCACTGTTCGCCTGAAAGCAGCACATTTTTATCAAACTGACAGTTTTTATCAAACTGCTTAAAAATAGAAGAGCAAATTTTATATATGTTTGTTCAGTATATATATCTATTTGTCTGTCCATCTATCTATTTATATATCCATCTATCTGTCCGTCTGTCTATCTGTGTGTAACAGAGGTAAGGTGTACATTTCGCATTAGGCCGTGAACCTCATCCTGCTCATGGTTGCTCCTAAGCACTGCTCAGTTCTCACACACTCTTCCCGCAGCCTTCACACTCACTTTCTGCTGATGCGCTCAGTTCAGTTCAGTGGCCAGAAAGTCTCAGTGCTTCAGCTACAGCGCTGCGCTCAAATCACACTCCTTCATGTTTAACACAGCGTAAAGTTTTTACTGTTTGTGTTTAAAGTTTTGTAGTGCTGTCCTCTGCTCTGATGCATCTCAGAAACCTTCACTTTAATGGTTAAAGTTAGTGTAAAGGCATAGATGTGTCTGTGGTGGACTTTAAGTTAGTGTTTAAATGCAGAGTCTTCTAAGAAATGGAATATCTCAAAATGACGAGATTTTCCAGGTCACACTTAAGGTCACATTAAATGGCAACATTGTGCATAGAATTTAATTTGTTTTATCTCATGTTTTGGTTATAAATAGTGGAATATGTTACTACTTTGTATAGTTTATATTTAATTACTGATTTTTTTTTTATTTTAGTGTGTGTGTGTGTGCGTGTGTGTGTATATTTATCTCTTCGTGGGGACCACACCCCCCCGAGGATGATGGAAGCTTGAACATTTTGTGGTTTGTGGGTACAGTCGTTTGCTCCCATGAGGAAAAATGTTTTTTTTTTCCCAAATGTAGCTTTTGTTAAAAAAGTACAAAAGGGCAAAGCTGATCTTTTGGATGCTGAGGTTAAGATTAGGTAGAGCACAGCACTGTTTAATCACACTTGTGCTGAAGCGCATGAAAACACAGCACACACTAGTGTACGAGTGACACTTTTAAAGCCGTGTAGGCCGTGCCGGTAACAACTGAGTATAATTTCCACCAACAAGTGCACATCCTTCTGTGTGTTAGAAGTGGACGTCCTGTTTAGATGCTGTGTGTGTGAATGTGTGTGTGTGTGTGTGTGTTTCTGTAGAGGAGGCAGTGGGGGCAATTAGCCTCTCCTTCCCAAACTTATCATTATACTAATCTGACTTTTATATTAGCAGTTTGTCCCCTTGCGCAGAGCGACTCGGAGGGTTTGATTATGACTTTTGCTCGCCAAACTCAAACCACATGTTTCTGAACGCATTTATGAGCCTCCATCCCACAACTGCGCCCTTTTACCCCCTTCATAACCAAACTGAATAATTTCATTGTCTTTCAAATTCATCCCAAACACTCAGTAAAGCTGGAAACTGGCAGAGCAAATGGTATTGGTGAACGTAAAAGTAAGATTTTCAAATTTGAAAATAGACACACATTTTCAATTCTGTTGCAGTGCTTTTGCTGTCACTGAGCCCTTTTGTCTTCAGCTCAGCAGAAACAGGACTGATACTGGAAATCTTGAAATACATAGGAGCAAAATGAGCAAACTGAACAAAAACTCAGGAATAGATCATTGCTGTCACAAGAAGACAGCAATGTTTTTTTACACTATTTACACTATTAAAAAACACCAGCTGCCCTTTAGATAGTGTGAACATTTGGTGAAGTTACACCAACTTAATGGTGTTTTATTATTATTTAACATGTAGCAAATGTGTATTGAGCGTGTGATACTTAATAATATTTTGCTGTTGCTTTGAGATGTGAGTCGTCACATTCAGGCTGATTTTAAAAACGTCTATCTGGCTAATACAAAATACCCTGGACATTGCTGTTGTACCAAGGTTGACATATAGAGGATAATCTGTCCAATTCTTCCTTTTTTCTGGTACAACAAGCTGAGAAGGCACCTATTTTAAAGAAAAGTGTTTCAGACCACGTTCATTTTAATCTATTTCGGGTTAAGGCACTGAGGTCTGCGGTCTACTGTGCTCTGTTATTTTATGCTGATTGAGTTTTGTTGTCGTCGTTGTTGTTGTTTTCTACTCTAGTGGTGTTTTTGCATAAGGGATATTTGTGTTGAGGCTGTAGCTGTTTTTTTTTTCCTTTGATACAAGTGTGATAGTTATAAAAGTGTAAATATGAAGGCTGATATTTTTCTGTAGTGGCTCATGCTGTAGTTTGTTTGCATATAATGTTGTGGACATATGCAGAGGTAGAAAAGACAAGGGAGCTTGAACGTGAGCTAATGCACGGATGCATAGAATGAATGACTGGACAGAGATTCTGATGTGATCTGAGGCTTTTTGCAGAAAAAAGCAGGCAACTTTAGAGACAAAACTATGTAAACTATGGGTGTAAGAATGCATTTATGCATGAAGGTGATGATTCAGCTGCATCAATTTAGAATGGTTAGAATCACTTATAATGTTATTAAGCAATGCATGCATTCATTTCTGACTATTTTCAAATGTGAGAATCTTCAGCAATTGCTTGGTGTCTTGTTTTTGTTGTCTGTTTTCTACCTCTGTGTAAATAGTTACCCCAGTTCACATTTGTGCACTGGGTGGGTTTTTAAAAATAGATCTGAATCGAACCAAAACAACTGAATCAAATCAAATTGTGGTGAAATCGAAGAACTCATAATGTGCCGAATCCTTCCCTAAAGAGTCATAATCAAATCATTGTGACGTTAGAGATTTATACCTCTAATTCATGCGGAGGCAGAGTGTGACCGTGTACGTCAAACCTGAGTGTAGCTGTGTTTATGTCACTAACACCACCTTCGTCCATCAGCAGGCGGCTAACTGAAGGCAGATGACTTTAGCTCTCCTGCAGTTTCAGTATCTTCAATGCTGTCGGAGGTTCTGTACGCAGTAGAAGGTAGGGTTTTAGCTTTGATTTAGGTGTTAATTTAGCACTCCTGAGTTTTCTCTGTGTGGTTCTCTTGCTAAAGGGCTTTTTCCTCTTTGTTTAGTTGTTACTCATGCGTTTACCTCAAAGCTTCTGCTTCCAGCCGCTCCACAGTGTGGAACAAACTACATATGCTGCTGTAATTGCCAGTAAGTGAGAAAATGTGTAGGTTTGGCTGGGTAATAGGCATGTTGCTCTTTTTTTACAGTAATTTTTGCTGTGACTGGAAGCTCTTTAGTGCATTTTTAAACAGATTTATTTAGGCCATTTGATATTAATCTAACCCTTTGGCTATAGTTTCGCATTGACGTATAAACTAATCTGTTTTTTGTGTAATATAAACTTTCATTGCCATTAATGATGAGTTTCATATCGAAAGGAGTTTCATATTGACTGGATACATAGAGAAATACTACAAAGTGATCATTTTGTTTTTGTCTGTGTGCCGTGGAAGTTCTCGGTTAGTCACCTCTATGTGATCAGTAGTGAGTATTACTAATGTGTCTTTGAAGCATCCCTTTTTTCCACATCAGGGTTTTGATTTGATTGTGGATGCTCTTTGCATATGGAATACTTGTGGGGCAAAAAGTGAATTTACTTGATTCAAATGGTCACATAAAATATATTAAATCAGCTGCTGCCAGAAGTAAGTAAATTGAAAGACAAAACAGTGTTTGTATACTGTCCTCATGTGGACACGATGTACACATTTGAAATAAGTAACTTAAATGCATAAACTTTTTCAGTGTAATAGTCATAAAAGATGCTGGTGTAGTTTTTCCACAAGAGTGCAGTAACTTCAGTCTCTCTTGAGTACATAATGCAGTGGTTGCCTGTAGACGCCAAATAGACCAAATTTAGGGAAAAGAGCTGAATGTATTTCGCAAGTGGGACTAATCCACAGATAAAAGCATGTTTCACATTGCATACTGGGTATTTCCTTCTTAAGTGATTACCACATATAATGAATGATCGGACAGACTCCAGACTTCATTTTGATCTCTCCTTTCATTTTAACCCATACACATCATGGTTATCTTCATCAATAATAAAAGAATTTTGCAATTTTATGTAAATTATTTCTGACTCATAGCTGAGTGAAGGGAGCAGATAACTTGTGCGGAAAGTGCAGTTTCTAAACTTTCACTCCACACCACATTTGAGATGTTTTATTATGATTTTTTGATGAAGAGTTCTTGTGTGTAGAGTCTTGTTTTGCAGAAAGAAAAACGTCCTTTGTATCTTTGCCTCTGTTCATTTCTTGACACTGATACGGACAGAAACAGCGTACATGGAATTCCGTGTGTAAGTTGCCATGTAGTTAAATATGTAGTTAAGCAGACACACAAAGACATACCCAAAGAAAGTAATGAGTCTCAGCTTCTAAGGCTTAATCATTCACTTCCCTC